TGCAAAACAATCAAGCCACAATTTAAAAAAAAGTGTGTTTTTATTTGTCAATAAATTTATCTCATAAATATTTACATTGAAACTAACTGTTTTATGGAGAACTGGGGACCCTCGTCTCTAACTGTTTTATGGAGAACTGGGGACCCTCGTCGTGAATCCACATGGTCCTCCACATGGTCCGTGAGTTTCCTCAGTAGTTTCTGATCTGTGAAGGAGTCGTAAACATCAACTATTACCAAAGAGAACAATGAGACCATTCACTTTAGTGGAAAATATGACACTAATTAGTAACTCTCTGTGCTGCCACCAGAGGGAGCAGCGTCTCTTTGTGCTCTCTTTCTGGTCCCTCTCTCTTGTCCCTCTCTGGTCACACTCTATGGTCACTCTCTCTGGTCTCACTCTGGTCTCTCTCTGGTCTCTCTCTGGTCCCTCGCTGGTCTCCCTCTGGTCTCTCTCTGGTCCGTTTTACCGTTGAACTTTATGACAGAGATCAAAGCGACGACGGCGAGACCCACGAGGCAGACGACCACAACAGGGATCATCCTGGTCCTCTGTGGAGACCATGTGTCCTCCGTCTGCTCAGGACCATGTGGCTCTGAGAGAGAAACATCAGGTATGACGGGAGATAGAGGAGAGAGAACACAGGTACAAACCATACTAGAGAGAGACCAGAGAGAGAGACCAGAGAGAAACCAGAGAGAGACCAGAGAGAGAGACCAGAGAGAGACCAGAGAGAGAGACCAGAGAGAGAGACCAGAGAGAGGGACCAGAGAGAGACCAGACAGAGAACAAAGAGAGAGACCAGAGAGAGACCAGAGAGAGAGACCAGAGAGAGGGACCAGAGAGAGAGACCAGAGAGAGAGACCAGAGAGAGAGACCAGAGAGAGACTGTTTTGTGGCTTTAAAGTTACAGACCCCAGCTTTAAAATCTAAGCTTCACCTGCGTCAGAGTCAGGTCCATCCACACGGAGTTCAAAGTCCTCTGAAAGACACATGTATACTGAGACAGGTATGTATACTGAGACAGGTATATATACTGAGACAGGTATGTATGCTGAGACAGGTATGTATACTGAGACAGGTATATATACTGAGACAGGTATATATACTGAGACAGAGTATGTATACTGAGACAGGTATATATACTGAGACAGGTATATATACTGAGACGGGTATGTATACTGAGACAGGTATGTATACTGAGACAGAGTATGTATACTGAGACAGGTATGTATACTGAGACAGGTATATATACTGAGACAGGTATGTATACTGAGACAGAGTATGTATACTGAGACAGAGTATGTATACTGAGACAGGTATGTATACTGAGACAGAGTATGTATACTGAGACAGGTATGTATACTGAGACGGGTATGTATACTGAGACAGAGTATGTATACTGAGACGGGTATGTATACTGAGACAGGTATGTATACTGAGACAGAGTATGTATACTGATACAGAGTATGTATACTGAGACAGAGTATGTATACTGAGACAGAGTATGTATACTGAGACAGGTATATATACTGAGACAGGTATATATACTGAGACGGGTATGTATACTGAGACAGGTATGTATACTGAGACAGAGTATGTATACTGAGACAGGTATGTATACTGAGACAGGTATATATACTGAGACAGGTATGTATACTGAGACAGAGTATGTATACTGAGACGGGTATGTATACTGAGACAGAGTATGTATACTGAGACAGAGTATGTATACTGATACAGAGTATGTATACTGAGACAGAGTATGTATACTGAGACAGAGTATGTATACTGAGACAGAGTATGTATACTGAGACAGGTATATATACTGAGACAGCTATGTATACTGAGACAGAGTATGTATACTGAGACAGAGTATACTGAGTATATAAACTGAGTGTGTATACTGAATATGTGCAGTATACTGAGTATGTATACAAACTGTATGCATGTAAACTGTTTTAGAACAAACCTATTGCCTTTTATTACACTCCAGAAAAGAGCACTTAGGATCTTTCTCAAAGTCCCTCACAATGAGCACACACAGACCTGAGAGGAGTGAGTCTGTGAGAGGAGTCTGTGAGAGGAGTGAGTCTTGGTATTGGGCCTGTGTGTGTCTGTGTGTGTGTGTGTGTGTGTGTGTGTGTGTGTGTTTGTGTGTGTGTGTGTTGAATGTTCGATGTCTTGTGTTGTAATCATTTGTGAAAAGGATCTGCAGGTGGAGTGTGTGGGGGTGGTTTTATAAAAGCGTAAGCTTCTATCGTCCCCTTTCAAACCAAGCAGACTTTGTATCTTGTTTTCCTGTGTGTGTGCACCTGCAGGCTTCAAATGGATAAATGAATACATGAAAGGAAATGTATAAAGAGTATGTATACTGAGTATATATACTGAGTATGTATACTGAGTATGTATACTGAGACAGAGTATACTGAGTATGTATACTGAGACAGAGTATACTGAGTATGTATACTGAGACAGAGTATACCGAGTATGTATACTGAGTATGTATACTGAGACAGAGTATACTGAGTATGTATACTGAGTATGTATACTGAGACAGAGTATACTGAGTATGTATACTGAGACAGAGTATACCGAGTATGTATACTGAGTATGTATACTGAGACAGAGTATACTGAGTATGTATACTGAGTATGTATACTGAGACAGAGTATACTGAGTATGTATACTGAGACATAGTATACAGAGTATGTACACTGAGTATGTATACTGAGTATGTACACTGAGTATGTACACTGAGTATGTATACTGAGTATGTATACTGAGTATGTATACTGAGTATGTATACTGAGTATGTATACTGACCGGTCTTAAAGGAGCCAGTCCGTGTGGCAGAGTCGCAGGTGTAGGAGCCTGAGTCCCTGAGGGTGACCCGGGTCAAGTGCACAGTGACCTCCCCTTGAGGCCCCTGGGAGCAGCTGACCCGGCCCCAGAACTGAGGGTCCTGCTGCGAGGTCCTCTGCTCGCCCCTCTGCACCTCCAGCACCAACCGCGGGGGTCCCAGGCTGTGACCCGGACTGAGACCACCTGGACCTGGACCTGGACTGAAGTGGCAGCTGATGTGGAGCGACCTGAGCCTGGAGCCTGCGTCCCACTGCAGCAGCACCTCCGCCCCCTCAGAGACCGTCTGAGTCCGCAGGCCTGGACCACATGGACCACATTACTCAGTCCTCTCTGGTCTCTCTCTCTGGTCTCTCTCTGGTCTCTCTCTGGTCTCTCTCTGGTCTCTCTCTGGTCTCTCTCTGGTCTCTCTCTGGTCTCTCTCTGGTCTCTCTCTGGTCTCTAATTGGTCTCTCTCTGGTCTCTCTCTGGTCTCTCTCTGGTCTCTCTCTGGTCTCTCACTGGTCTCTCACTGGTCTCTCTCTGGTCTCTCTCTGGTCTCTCTCTGGTCTCTCTCTGGTCTCTCTCTGGTCTCTCACTGATCTCTCACTGGTCTCTCTCTGGTCTCTCTCTCTGGTCTCTCTCACTGGTCTCTCTATGGTCTCTCTCTGGTCTCTCTCTGGTCTCTCTCTCTGGTCTCTCTCTGGTCTCTCTCTCTGGTCTCTCACTGGTCTCTCTCTGGTCTCTCTCTGGTCTCTCACTGGTCTCTCTCTGGTCTCTCTATGGTCTCTCTATGGTCTCTCCGGTCTCTCTCTGGTCTCTCTCTGGTCTCTCACTGATCTCTCACTGGTCTCTCTCTGGTCTCTCTCTCTGGTCTCTCTCACTGGTCTCTCTATGGTCTCTCTCTGGTCTCTCTCTCTGGTCTCTCTCTCTGGTCTCTCACTGGTCTCTCTCTGGTCTCTCTCTGGTCTCTCACTGGTCTCTCTCTGGTCTCTCTATGGTCTCTCTATGGTCTCTCTATGGTCTCTCTGGTCTCTCTATGGTCTCTCTCTCTGGTCTCTCGCTCTGATCTTTCTCTGGTCTCTCTCTGATCTTTCTCTGGTCTCTTATTGGATTGGAATAGAATCAGGTACCATGTGCAGTGTCCAGCAGTACCAGCAGAACCATCAGGACCATCAGGACCAGTCCTCCCGCAGCTCCCTAAAGACACAGCACTGGTTTAAACATTACGTCATGCTTTTATTTCAAATGTATTTTTTCAGTGATAAAAGTAAACAGAGGCTGATGCGGCTGCGCAGCGCACCCTCTCAGGCCTCCTCTACCAACGTGTGACCCATCTCTGGGAGAGTGTGACCCATCTCTGGGAGAGTTTGACACTTGGTCATTTGTATTTGTGACACATGGTCAGTTGATGTTCATGGTATCCGGCGAACCAGGACCATGGAGCGTAGAGTTTCTGGGACAAACACACAGAGAACAGGTTAGAGCAGATCCTGGTCAAAGTAAAAACACAGATGTTGGAACGACGCAGAAATAATGTACAATCCTTAAAGATACAGTCAGAGCTTTACACGATGGTCCAACCATGTGGAGGTGGAAATGTATGTTTCCTCTCTATTCTCTGGTTTCTCTGGTCTCTCTCTGGTCTCTCTCTCTGGTCTCTCTCTGGTCTCTCTCTGGTCTCTCTCTCTGGTCTCTCTCTGGTCTCTCTCTGGTCTCTTGCTGGTCTCTCTCTGGTCTCTCTCTGGTCTCTCTCTCTGGTCTCTCTCTGGTCTCTCTCTGGTCTCTTGCTGGTCTCTCTCTGGTCTCTCTCTGGTCTCTCTCTCTGGTCTCTCTCTGGTCTCTCTCTCTGGTCTCTCTCTGGTCTCTCTCTCTGGTCTCTCTCTGGTCTCTCTCTCTGGTCTCTCTCTGGTCTCTCTCTCTGGTCTCTCTCTGGTCTCTCTCTCTGGTCTCTCTCTGGTCTCTCTCTGGTCTCTCTCTCTGGTCTCTCTCTGGTCTCTCTCTGGTGTCTCTCTGGTCTCTCTCTGGTCTCTCTCTGGTCTCTCTGTCTGGTCTCTCTCTGGTCTCTCTCTGGTCTCTCTCTGGTCTCTCTATGGCCTCTCTGGTCTCTCTCTGGTCTCTCTCTGGTCTCTCTCTGGTCTCTCTAAATAAAACCCTGTACCTCCGTGTGCTGCCACCAGAGGGGGCAGTGTACACTGACACGGGAAAGAGCCTGAGAAATCGCCAAAACTAATTTAATATTAGAAAGAAAATTATAGTATGTGTTGATGGTGCTACGTAAGTCTTGATGGTGGGGGAGAGAGGAAAGAGAGGAGAGAGAGGAGAGAGAAGAGCGAGAGAGGAGAGAGAGAGAAGGGGGGAGAGGAGAGAGAGGGGAGAGAGAGAAGAGAGGAAGCTAAAAGCTCTCTCTCTCAGAACAGACAGAGGAACCATGTGGGTGAGTGATGGTTTCACCTGACGAGACACTGCCGTTGTTTCCTGAAACATGATCTGAAACCAGCAACATTCAGAATGACACAGGGATCAGCGTGTTCTGGCTAAGACTGTTCCTTTGTTAAATGTATGATTTGAATGATATGTGTACAACTCCTGCTTTTAATGTGACCAGAAATCCCTTTTCGTTATATTTTTACCCTCATTTTTGTAATCAATAAAATACTTTTCTTTAACTCCACCCCTTCAGAGTCGCGTTGTTAGATCTCGGAATATCACTGGCCGATAAAAGTACTCACTACCTATTAGATTTATAAGACTGACTCGAGGCAAAGTTGGTTTGGATCAGTTGGTTGGTTTGGAGCAGTGTGTCATACACTGCTGGTGCCTAAATAAATATAAAGCAGATCCCCACTCGAATAGGACGGCCAGACTCTGATTTGAAGACTAGCCGCACTATTCTTCTCATAACATAATCTGGAGTATTATTACCCTACTACATATAAATTATTACCCTACAGTAATGGTACCCTGTTTGTGAGATCCGCGTATATGGACCAGAATTTATCAACCCCACACTAGAACGCCCCTTCGACGTCACGATCGACACGACGCTCAGAAACCCCGGCCGTGATGAAGACATAATGCCGATACGCCATGGGCTGTTAGATTCTGCTTCCGATACACTCACTTCGTTGGTACTCGTGGTGCCTCGAAGCATGAGGGGGGTAATGTTGGCACACGCCCATGACGCACCTACCGCGAAACAAACAGGTATAAACAACACACGTCAGGCACTACAACAGGTAGAAACGACGGACCGGACGGTGACCGAAACACCAAGGTACGTATCCCCAAACCGGAGTGACGAGAATGTGAAACTCCCCCGGCTCCTGAGGACAAACCAATACAGGACCGACCCGCAGGACCACCTCCAGGTCAAAAACCAGGTATGGTATTACACCTTGGCACATTCCCCAGGACACGTGGGAACCGGCCCCACCAGACTACGCCGGAAACCGCGACCCCGCTGGTCAAGACCATACAGGGTGGGAAACAAACTCTCAACCGCAGTGCACCAAATCGAGGTCACAAAAGGTAGAGAGCCCACCCTCAGATGGGCCTGTTACAGCCAAACCAAACCACACAAACAAAGCCCCATGGGACAAGCAGGGCACACTTCAAAACCCAGTTAGGAACACACCACGTGACCTCAAACACGATTAGTCCAGCACCCACCAACACTCTTCTCGGCTGCACTAATCGACTTTCTCTTTCTCTGTCTTTGTCTAACCCCTAACAGTTGTTTCACGCCTTGCAGAACATGTGGCCCACTTTCCTTCTCGTGCTGACCTGCATACTGGGCCTCGGCACCCCAGAAATTATTGAGACCGGACCAGCCTCCGGGATCGTTTTAAAGGAACAACCCGGGCTCCTCATCACGGACGTCCGACTCCACACACAGCGAATCTTTGTCAGACTCAATCCTAGTGAAGTCTGCCGCAAGAACCTGCCCTTGAAGGTCACACTCAAAGATTGGGCAGGTGCACGCTGGACCCAGACGGTCGTGGAGCATGCTGAGGCAGACATACAACACATGCTGACGCAACTAGAGAAGTTCACGATCACTAGGACAGAGCTCAGTGACCCCCGCCCCAGACCCAAACGATTTATTGGGGCTCTCCTCGGCGCGGCGTCCGCCCTGGGCACCCTCTTTAGTTTAGGGATGTCCACGGTAAACGCCATCAGCCTATCCTCCCTCAGACGCCACCAACAAGAAATGGCCTCTGAGCTCGAGGATGTCAAAACCAGACTTGACCAACAACAGAACGACGTGGTAACCTTGGGAAAATCCCTAAAAGGAACCATGCTAGTACTTAACACACACGAGGTTGCGATTAAACGCACCTCCGCTGCGGTCAACCAACTCTTAGACGTCCTCCAACTAGACTACGCCCATACTCAGCTGACCACCCAACTGATGGAGGACATGCTACGTCACCTCAGTTCCTCGATCGAAAACCTAGCCATGGGCCGTATCCCGCCATACCTTGTGCCGCTATCGTTAGTTGAGAACATTCTAGCCGTAGCCACACGGGACGCCGTAACCCCCATGCAAGCCCACTTAGCGTACACGCTGGGCGCTGCAGTCCCCATCTATGTTAATCCTCTGGACCGCGAGGTAGCCTTTCTAGTCACCCTACCGATAGTTCCCGGCGACAAAATCTACCGACTAAAAGGGATCACTAACCTAGGGACTTGGAGGGACAATGCCCACGTCAGAGTCCAGACCCCAGACATAGTAGCCTACCACGACAGTAACCCCAATTTATACCTAACGCCAAACCTAAGGATGTGTACCCTCACCAAGGACATCCATTACCTCTGCCCCAGCAAACCTTTCGTCAGGGACAGCACCGATGGCATCTGCGGCCTGAGGCCCATGACTCCAGGGAGTCGATGCCCCGCGACGGTCACCTCTCGGAAACAAATAACCGAAACTAGAGCAGAGATTGTAGGGGCACGCTGGCTAGTGAACACTCCCCTTAGAACGGCGACCCTGACCTATGACAAACACGACACCTCGTCCCGAGTAAGCCTCCCGGACGAAACCTTTTGGGTCGACGTCCCAGCCGACGCTATCCTGCACGTAGGCGACCTGGCATTATACCACCTGTATCCGAACCAGTACGAGGCAGAGGTCGAGATACCAGAGTTCTTTGAGGAAAGGGCCTTGGAACTTCAACCCTCTACCCTAGTCCAAGCCACCTACGAGGGGGCACAAACCGTTGACGTTACGGTCGTAGACAATCTCCTTCAAGAGATTGCCAAGCGACCGACCATCCACCACCAACCAGTAGCCTACTCCTGGGCCGCCCCCGATACAGTCATGGCCATCGCGGTAGGACTCGGGTACGGCCTGGTCGTAGTCATGGCCTTCGTCCTAAATAGACGGGTTAGACGACTCCGCGATAGCTTTAACAGGTGCACGGAGGCAATGACGAGACAGATCCGTAGACGACCAAACCGGGGCGACAGCGCCGTCGAGCGTGGCAATTTGAGTCGGCGTCCCCAGGTCAATGAGTCAGAGTACGAGGACCTCCAAAGTCACCCACTCGAGGCGGTCACCCTTTCTATCACGGAAGGTGAACCAAGGGCCTAAAACACCACTAAGAGTCACCAGCTCAGACCCAACCAACCTACCTCGATACCTAATCAGTCTCCTAGACAATCATGCCTGTCATCCCCAGTTATATGCAGGAAATGTCCCTCGTAATTAAAGCCCCACTTGCTACGTCATATATTCGTGTAACCCTCACACTCCCCTTTTAGAACGAGCAAGATGGGAACCCCTCACCATCGAGTGCCTTAACGACGCTCCTACCCGCTGCCAAGGCAGCCACCTTTTTTTTTGATTTTTGAAGTTTCCTATTTTGTATCCTAGTCCCCTAAAGTAGAAACTCCTGCTACTCTCTTGGCTTGGAACTTTGAGTCTTCCAGACCAAGAGACCCAGGAGTCAGGCGCACCGGCCCAAACCTTAGAGTTCACGGCCGGAGCTCACTCCCTAAAACCCCTGATTCCGGTTAGAACTAGCCTGCAGGGCCAGGACTCGCCTTAGAGAAAACCCGGCCTCGACAAACCAAGCCAGAGGCCCGAGACCCAACCGCTACGAGCCTGCCCAAGTTAGGCGCTTGCGAGCTACTGAGTCACATTGAGACGGGAATGTTGTAACATGTCACTACAAATTGTACACTAACACCCGAACAGGCGAGAAGACCGACTGAAGACAACCCCACAGCATATCCGACATGACATGCACCTTGTCGGAAGGTGCATCTCTGCCGTGGGGGGGGTATGTAAGGTTAAACTGAGGGCAGGACCAAGCCTGTCCACTCTGTTTACCATTGACCAAATGGAGAGATACAGCTTCAAAGGAGCCATGGGGTCAGCCACAAGCCGCCATCAATCATGAGGATTACAGATGCCAAAAAGAGTAATAAAGTCACCACGGGGATAAGCACCTCTGTCTCTGCCTGCCTGTAGAGATCAAAGATCACAACCCTGCCCTCGCTCACAGACTCCTGCCACCGGACAATCAAAGACTCTCCCGCGGCGCTCTGACGCCCCCTTGTGAACAATGGACACTATCACACCCGGGACGGACAATTGCGAACCGGTACCCCTGGGTCCAGTACTCCAATAATCTGCATTGTGCCCCATATGTGTGTATCAATGTCAAAGTAATGAAATACGGTGTGTGTTTGTACATGTCTTATGATTATTAGCATCAATCCTGTGTGTTTCCTTTACAAACTGTCTGTTGTAAAAGGGGTCTGTCCACAGAGGGCAGGGGCGGCATGGACACGCCCCCTGGGAAGCCTATATGAGCACCCACACGCCATTGTTCTTTCTCTTGCCTTCTCCTGAAATCACTATCGCAACCTCCCTGGCCATCGGCGTCCCGCGGCACGTGTCTCCTACTACGGTCGCGCCAGCACGCATCGGGCCTTCTACTCCGCCAAACATACTCTCCTCTGGCTCGGGACCTTACGAACCATTTCATCACCAGCCTCTTTCCTTGGCTCTGGACCATACGCGTGCAACCCATTCCGGACTGAGCTGCATACGCGTGGACCAGCAGCTGGACCAACTCGCTGGTTTTGTACCTCCCGCCTGCCCAGACAAAGGAACCACGTGGACTGATCCCCAACCCAAATCCTTTCTCCATCCTCTACGCTCCTTCAAAGTAAGACTGTTCCTTTGTTAAATGTATGATTTGAATGATATGTGTACAACTCCTGCTTTTAATGTGACCAGAAATCCCTTTTCGTTATATTTTTACCCTCATTTTTGTAATCAATAAAATACTTTTCTTTAACTCCACCCCTTCAGAGTCGCGTTGTTAGATCTCGGAATATCACTGGCCGATAAAAGTACTCACTACCTATTAGATTTATAAGACTGACTCGAGGCAAAGTTGGTTTGGATCTGCGCAGTGTGTCATACACTGCTGGTGCCTAAATAAATATAAAGCAGATCCCCACTCGAATAGGACGGCCAGACTCTGATTT